ATAGCTCACATCTCAAACTCTGAGCCTCAGTAGATCCTCTTGTTTCAGCCTCCCAAGTAGCTGGGTCTGTAGGTCCCTTTTTCAAGTAGAGATGGGGGTCTCGCTCTTGCTCGGGCTGGTTTTGAACCCCTGAGCTCAGCCACACCACCCACTTTGGCTTCCCAGAGTGCTAGGATTACAGGCATGAGCCATAGTGCCAGGTCCCAAATCTTTTTTGGGAAGCAAGACTATTGATATTCTCTGTCTTGTGGACTTTTATCCTTGGGCATTTGTTTATAAGGTTCTAAAGTTGAATATACTATATTAAGTACTTTTTATTAAAATCTCTCAAAAGGTAATTGTGAGCCATGGATTCCACCATGACATAAATTTTAGCTATGATAATCTCTTCAACAGCACAGGAATCAACATGAATGACCTAAGTTGCCCTGAATTAACCTTACTGCCTTCCTCTTGACTACCGCTGTGAGTCAACTGCACACACTTTGTTTTAGCCTCTCAACTTTGGCAGAAATAAGCTGTTGTCTAGAGCATTTCTTTTGTCTACCATCAGTCTTAGTGTAACTTAAAACAGCTCTCAAATCTAATTTTTTTACTTAATGATCTCAATAAGGTATTGGCCATTTTTATGGAGGTACAGCTCCAGGTGTGTGTGTGTGGACGTGTAGGGGGCAGGAGGGAGGTGAGTTTAAGTCTAGAGAGTCCATGCTCCAGCCGTGTCTGCAAACATTGCCCAGCACAGTACTGGGGGTTTGGGCAGTGCCTCTGGAACTATATTGGCAAATAGAGGTTGAAAGGAAGGGAGTTTGAAAGGAAAGACAGCGGGAGGAAGGCTGTATTTCTACTTCACATGTTGACTGTCTGTTGGAAAAAAGTTGAGTGTGGGGGTCCCATGGCTAATAACAGATTGGAAATGATTACAGTTAATGTCAGAATATTTCTGAAAGTAGAAACAGGTTCTGGTGGAACTTCTGAGAGATTCAGAAACAGGGAGAAATGCTCTATGAGTAAGATGGGCAGTAGCATTTCTTTATGAAAAATGAAAGGGGTTATTAAATGGCAAACCTGACGTATGCGCTGAAAGGCAGCCCCCTGTTTTCCTTGGGACTTTCTCTTTTCTCTCTTTCGCGTCTTACCTCAAGACCTTCTCTCTTCTCATTAGCACCTCCACCAGAGTTGGAGCTGGGGAAGAGAAAGGAAGTGTCCAGACACGCGTCTGTTTGCATAGACACTTCCTGGAGTCACAGCCAGGGGCTCACAGACATGCCGTCCGGGTCTATAGAACAGCCAGTTTTCACCCCATCAGTAAGATTTAATTTTCTTTTTTTTAGTATAGAGCAGTTTATAAGGCTTCTCTTAACTGTATATTATAAATAGTGTCTGATTAGGAATGTTCTGGATGGGTTAATTAGTGTGGTGGCTATTATTAAGCAAACTGCTTGTTAGTATTATGCCTGTTTGATCTTGGTATTGATGTGAAGTAATTGACCATAGAGCTACATTTAGAAAAGCTGAAATAAAGTTGTTGTTTTTTTTTTTTAATTTCTATTATGGCAATAAATTGTTTATAGTAAACATGTCTATAAAAATATGAGTTTCATGGCACAGAGGATCAGAGTAGACTCTGTGAGGGATGAGAGAAGAGGTTTGGTTTGGTTTGCTTTTAGAAATATTAATACATTTGTCTAGCCTGCTTCCAGGTCAGCTCTATTGGAACAAAGTCGTAAAGAATTATTTCAGCTTCTGCTTTCATTCTTACTGCAAAGGATATGAAAATTAAAATGTCTTTAATTTTCCACAACTAAAGGAAGCATCCTGTTAGATTTAACTAATTACCTAAATACTTCTTTTGGTGACAATTGCTATAATAAATAGATAATCAAATAAAAATATGAAAAGAAACTATAAGCAAGAAAAACATAGGTTGTAGCCACCATCTTTTCAAGTATAGATTGTTATCTATATTATTTATTGGTATTTAGTCCAGTTCTATTATTAAGTTTCCCTAGCTGTAGCATTTCCATAGGGAATTTATTCCATGAGCTAATAAATTACACTGTCAGGGAGTTTTTCTTGAAATTCAGCTTAAATTTTCCCATTCTTAATTTCATCTCATTACTCCTAGTTATACCCCCTTGTACCAGGCTAAATAATTATTCTTTTTCCTTAGAGACCCCTATAATGTACCCCTCTAGTTGTCACTTAACCAGGCTATTCATATTTAGCTCCTTTAATCTGTCCTCATAAATCAGTTCTTCCATTGCCTTAATCGTTATTATTGCTCTTCTAAGAACTCTTTAATTTTGAAACATACAGTTCTTAGGTGCCCCAGATGAAATCAGCATTTGCACAATATTCTATTACAACAGATTTAGTGTCTTTCTTCCCTATTCAACAGGATCCTGAACTCAGTGGCATCAGTCTGCTGGGTCAAACTGGCACTTGGCTCATCTTGTCAAACTCAGGATGGTCTAAATCATGTTTTCCGTGGGTCCTACTTGCATTCAAGGTTTTTTTTTTCAAATTTTGTGGGATTTGTAAGCTATTTGAGTTACTTACTATCCCTATTTATATTCTGCATCTTTCCATGTCATACTCGCTACCACCTATCAAGTCTGTCATCCACAACCTGTGTCAACATGGGATTCTAGTCATCCTGGAGAACATTTAAGACACGCGTGGAATGAAAGCAAGCCTAGCACCTTGTCCACAGCTAAATTCCTTGCCAGTTACCAATTCCCATTGTTTACAACCCTTTAGCCAATCCCCTGTCTCTTTTAATTTGCAATTTTGCTCACATACTGGCCAATATAAATAGATTTTATGAGTAAGATAGGTTGTGATACTGTTCTCTAAAATGAAGATATGTTGTTTCAATGCCCATTGATTTTTTTTTTTTATTGTGAATCTTTCGTGCAGTAAGTTTGTAATTCTGTTAAAATCCTTTTTAAGCTTGCCTGGCATTCTTGATCCGACACAAACAAATAGTTTACTTCACTTGCTTTACTGTTGGTTTTCAGATTTGTACAGATGTTCCTTCTCTGACTATTTGTTCTGTTTGTTTAGAAGTTGTAGACATTATCATAGTCATTTTTTTTTTTTTTTTACCTGTTGTGGTGATCAATGGGAATTTTTCTTATTGTGGTTTAGATCCTAGGAATCGCCTCAGTGTTTTGGATTTATTTCAGGAAGAAAATTGGTTCATCACTCTAATAACTTTGGGTCATTGAGATCTGAAACTACAATCTGTGAATGCCCAGGTTTCTTTTCATTTTTAAGCAAGGACTAAATTTATCATTTTATTAGGGTATACTTAAGGGGCTAGTACCATGCTTTGTGTTCTTACATATTCAGTTGAATTTTCTTAAGGTATTTGAAATTAGAATAGACATTTAAAAATCTTTATCGAAACTAATGCAGAAGCCCCTCCCACCCCCAAAAGCTTTCTGATTCTGGAATGTACATAGCCTGCTGCAGCCCAAGACTTTGTTCCTAGCTCCTGTGACCCCACTGTTCCCAGTGTTGCTTGTCAGCCCAACCTATGCCTTATCCTCTCTCTACAGGGGTTGTTCTGGTCTCTCAGTTTACTTCCTTTTTTTTATTTTTGAGACAGAGCCTTACTATGTCATCCTTGGTAGAGTGCTGTGGTGTCACAGCTCACAGCAACCTCAAACTCTTGGGCTCTAGTGATACTCTTGCCTCAGCCTCCCAAGTAGCAGGGACTATAGGTGCCCGCACAATACCGGGCTATTATTTTGTTGTAGTTGTCATGTTGTCATTGTTGTTTAGTAGGCCTGGGCTGAGTTTGAACCTGCCAGCCCTGGTGTATGTGGCCAGCGTCCTACCCACTGAGCTACGGGTGCCGAGCCTCTCAGCTGACTTCTTAAACCCCATCTCCATCTCTGCTTGCCTCCCTAAGATACATGAGATGGCCTAGTCTCCAGTGACATACTCCTTAGCTTCCACACCTACCACCTAAAACTGGTTTTTGTTGGTTGGTTTGTGGGGTTTTTTAGCTTCATTTTTCTCTCCTTCCCTCAGCTTTGCAAGGCGGTTCATTTTCTTTTAGCAGGCCCCACTTTCATGCCCATAACCCTGCTATTGTCACATGTGTAATATTGTTTTTCTACTTCCATCTCGTGAGACATTTTTATTTCTTCAGGACCCTACTTCCTTCCCCAGCAAGTGTCCGCACGTGAGTAACCTGTGTCCGTGTGCTCCATTTAAAAAACTAACCTTATCTTCTTCACCCTTATCCTCTCCGTCACCTTCTTTCTGCCCCTCTTTCCCACATCCTCACACGAACTTCCAGTAGTCTGGTTTTGGCCCGTGCCCCTCCACAGGAACTGGTCAGTGGAGTGGCCCTGGCCGTGCTGTGACAAGGCCGAGAGCTTCGTTTCTGCTCCTGCAGCCCCTCTGCGTGCTTTACCCCCCCTTTTGCACACTCTTTTAGGGTTCTTGATTCCCCTTCTTACACCTTCCTTGAGGGATCTTGATTTTCCTTAATAGTATCATATTACTTTCTCAAAGTCTTTCTACTACTTAAAACGTATATTCAGGTGTCCCAGAATACAGAACGATCATGAGCAGAAATGGCAGGTGTTAATCAAGGTACTTTCAAACATTTTTGTTGGTTACTAAACAAATGCGGTTTGAAAATAAGCACTGAGCTGTTCAGTGATTAGAAAGCACAAAATGGGTGAGGAAAGAATGGTAAAGCGTCTCTCCAATTTTATGTTTTATGGTATTTGTAGTGCGTGTTTTATGGCCCCCAAAACTCTTTAGAAACTGTTCAAAACAGCCTGGTCTGATTTCAGACTTTTGAACTTCCTCTGGGTGCCCACTGCTTTTTGGGCTTCTTGTAGGGTTTGTGTTATAACTTCTTTATTTTTTCTCAGTCTTACGTTAACGTATCATCATTCTGTCCTTACAGAAAGGTAGAGGACAGATTTTACATGTCTTTTTCCACTAAAAGTATGTTGCATTCCCTTTTCTAACAGATTCATGCCCAAGCACAAAACCACACATTTAAAGAGGATGCTCAGCCTTAAAGGAAGTGGTGGCGCTGCTTTATCCATGGACCTTCCTTTTCAACCAGCCCAGAAAGATTCCGGGAGTTTATTGAAAAATTTTAATTCAGAGTACGATGCACACTCTAGCCTTAATACTGCACAACAAGGCAATCCGGGTGATTCATTAATGCGGGAGTCAGACTTGGAAAAGTTCAACTCATCAGATAATTCAACTCTTCATGGGGAAAATAAACAAAATCTGACTCTCAATCACGGTGCCATTTTGGGTGGACCTGATGATCAGCAAAGACCATTACACATTGTCTGGCCTCACAGGTGGTAAGTCAAGACATGCCAGTTTAGTTGTAGAACTGGTAAAAAAATATATTGTGATAATTGACTTATTAATTTGCTGTCTCTATGGCTTTAGAGAAAAAGATGATTTAATGTGACAGTACTACTAATGTGGGGCCAAGGTGGTACTGCTTACTATCTTTATATTAATGGTTGTGTGTGTTTAGATTAAATTTGAATCACAAATAATTATTTGCAGTGATTTGCTCAGCAGTAGCTAGGCACTTGTAGGATATCAAATCATATTCAGGAAGTTTCAACGTGTAAGAATAGGATTTGATTTTATATATAATATACAACCATCACAAAGCAGTATTATCATTAAAACAAGAACAATGTCCATTATTTACTACTTTACCAGTTTCATCTGGGGGCTTTATTTTGTTCATCTTAATCCACTATCAGTACATGTGAAACTGCTTCCCTCCACCCTCTGTATTGTGCTAAGGAAAATACTTTCTATCTAGTTGAATCTTTTCTAAACAGAAGAGAATCAACTGTGGCATGTAATCCCACCAAATATAAACTCATAAACTTAACCCTGGCTCCTATAAATTAGGATTTAAAGAGGTAAAATGTCCTGATAATCTTCTGGTATTAGGCATGAACATTTTAATCTAGTTTTTATTCCTCCCAGTTAGTTTAATCTGCATGTGGCCTGATTAGAGTTCACTTCCCCCACAGATTATGGCCTCTTTATTGCAGAGATGCTGGGCTGATCATTAGGTCCGATTTTCTGAGAGCGAGTGTTTGCAGGTGAAGTAATAAGCACACTACACCGGCTGGGCAAAGCGCCTTTACCGAGGATTTGACTTCCAGCACATTAAAACTCCAGAGGCTCTCCCAGTTGATCTGCAGCATCTGGTCCCTAAAGGGATTTTCATCTTTGATTCTGCATGTATGAACGTAAAATTTAGGGATTGAAAGTGGACATGGAGTATGTTTTTGGATTTGTTTATTCAGCTTCACACTTCCAGCAGAGCCTTTCTAAGGGAGTAGCATTTATTTTAAAATCATATTTTACTTAGGATGTGACAGAGTTTAGTATTCTTCCATGTTATTTTAAAATGCAGTGGCTCCGAATGAGTTCAACCTATTTCAAGGTAAAATAGATGTCATCATTTACTCCCTTCTGAAAAGCCTTTCCTTTTGTTCTGCTAACCTTTGGTAGTCTCTGAAGTAATATTTATTGCAAGAAAATCAGTTGCAAAAAGTTTGGTTCTGGGTTATCCTGAAAATGTTAAATTAAATAATTTGTCGACTGTAGTCACAAAACAGCAATATGGAGGAAAGAGTGAGAACCACGTTATTCAGTACTTTGCACAAAATAAGACAGCTATGTTAATAAAATTAACAATATTAAACTGAATAATTCCCTCTCCTCTTTGTATATTTTTGCTTTAATTTAATTTAATTGCCTAAAGTTAGTTGCTTAAAGAGATGCAGCATGATGTTTGTGCACATTCTTATTGTTAAAGCGAAATTATTTTTAATTTGGAGAGGAGGGAAAACAGCCGCATCAGCAAGAGTAAATGCCAAAATATAAAAGTAACACATTCATCCTTACGGGTAATATAGTAGAACATTGGAAACTTGGAGGTTGCCAGACACATAGCTAACATTAGGGCTAATTTTGAAAATCTAGCGTGCAGTCAATTTTACTGATGCCTGGGGACATACAAGGTAGAAGCTGACAAGAGAACTAATTTTGTTTGGGTTATTTACTGCTATGCATCATCCGCGAGTTCCCGCCTGACACACAGCTATATGAAGGGGGATATTATCACACACTAAAAATTTATGTTGACATTCGATATTTGTTCAATATGTCAGCAGTATTACTTTCATAATCAAAAGAGTAAGAAAAAGAGAAAAGAAAAGCACTTTATGCTCATATAGATATATCTTTTTAATAACAGTCTATAAGGTTAATATAGTTTACCTTTGAGAGTATACAATGAAAACAAGCAGGGTTAGGAGGGGAAATGACAGAAAGCATCAACCCGAGCTGTTTGTTTGCCATTACCTAAGCGAGCCATGTCAGCTCTCTGGCCCGCGTCTGATAGCTATTTGTTGTACAGAGAGCACAGCATAAAAAAAATATCAAACTCTTAATACTATTGTGTGCCCATAACCATCTGTCACTGCTAGCCTGGAGATGAGAGGAAGATTACGAGGAATAAACACTGAGCCGCCGAGCATTGGTAAAGCCTTCGGGCAAAAAACTCTTGTGGGGACATCAAAGACATTCTAATTCCGAGGCAGTCAAGGATTACAGTGTGTAACCTGTGCTGACAACAGATAAATGACTGGCAATATTGTGCCAGAGCTGTTGGGTCCTGCATGGAGTACTGATGATGATGATGATGATGTTATCTTGCAGAATGGACTCTGCTGGGATAATTTTATGATAAAACACTTTTTTCAAATGCCACTGGGTCTAGGCAGACATTTACTAGCTACAGGGGTAGCAATCAGTTTCTTCAAAATTTACTGTTCTAAGCCCATTAGAGTTCCAACGCAGCAAGACTCTTCAATGAAAATCTAAAATGCCTATATTTTCTTTAGGAGAATTTATGCAAATATTGTGAGCTGAACTCCTACCCTTTACTGGTAGATGCTTTATCATCTGATTTATGTAAATTTGCTCATAAAAATACAGTTTATTTTTAATTGGTGAATATGAATTAGAAAATTAAGATTCTGGTTCAGCATTCATCAAACATCCCCAGCTACAAGCACACATTTATTTAGACCCCTGATCATATGGGTGGAAATCATATAATTGACCGGTCGATAGGAATTGTGTTCTGAAGGAAACTATGGTTTCTCCTAGACATGAACGGGGTTGTATTTCTGAATCAGTCCTCTTAGGCTGAGCCCCCCCTTATGTTTCACATGTTCTTATCAGTATTGAGAGCGACTTTAACCCCCTGCTTGTAGAGGGGGGAGTTTCTTTAGAGTAGCCCCGGGAAGCCCTCAGTCTCTTGCAATGATACCTTGGCCTTGTGTCTCTTTCAGAGGGAAGGTATTTGGGGACAGCAGAATGCATCCATGACGGTTTCCCCTATAAACATAAAGGAGAAATGAACGCTGGAGAGGGCAGTAGGGCTCTTAGACCCTGTCATTACCTTGTCTGACAAAACAAAAATAAAACCCTCCTTCTTATCATAAAAAATATGCCCATGAAATCATGCGGTTGCAGTAGCCAACTCTAAAAATGAAGTGATGCTGACCTCATTGTGTTAGTTCCACACTGGGATCATGAATGGTCTAAAATATAGTGTTAGCCTCTAACATATCTCATACTAAGTCAACCAAATGTAGAGCCTACTTGCTAGAATATGTATCAAAATCAAAAGTGACATTTTCTAGAAGATACATTCTGGCTTTAAATCTGTGTTAAAATGTCTGTGCATGAGAACAGGCCCTTAAATGCAATGCTTGCCCCTTCTCCTCATTCTTTCTGAATCTGAGCTTGTCAAGGATTATAGTGTGCAACCTCTGCTGACAGTAGATAAATAACTGACAGTGTTTTAGCAGAGTTGCTGGGTTCTCTGCAGAGTAATTTGTTTTCTTTTTTCTACTCAGTCTTTAATGTTTCGTTATAAACATCTATAGCAAGGCACAGTTAATAGAAGTGACTTACAGAGAGAGACCTGTAAAAAATAGACTGCAATTGGCAATGGTTATTTTTTTAACTATTTTCTTCCCAAATATTATACACATATTATAATATTATGCCAGGTTCCAACCCTTTTGTTCTCTTGAATATAATGGACACAAAAGACCCACCCCTGGAGGGACCAAGAAATAAAGACAAGTTTTAGAATACGTTGAAAGATCACTCTCTCCAGACTACTATTCTCACTCTTTGATCTCAAGACCTCGTCACTTAAAAATTGTTGGGACACCAAAGAGCTCTTGTTTGTTTGGATTATACCTATCAGTGCTTACTGCATTAGAAATTATAACTGAGGAAAAAGTTTTTAACTCTGCATTGAATTATTTAAAAATTGCAATTAAGAGCCCAATACATGTTAGCATAAATAATGTATTATGATGAAAAATAACTGTATTTTCCAAAATAAAAAGATGGATGAGAAGAGCTATGTTACTTTGCATTTTTGAAAATCTATTATGTCCAAGTAGAAGTGAACTGGATTCGTATATCTGCTTATGTATTTACTTTGTTTCAGTATGTTGTTTTGGTTGAAGTTTATGAAAAAAATAGAGCTTCACAAAGAGATGTAGCTGGGAAATAAGGACTGTTTTTATGACATATTCAGAAAACTGTAGATATTTGTCTTTGACACTATTTCAGAACTTGACAAGTAGGAGTTCCTTAAAGGTTAGGTGTAATGTATACACATCAGCGAATCTGAATCCACATCAGCGAATTCTCTATGCCCTGTGACTTGCAGTTTGAATGGATTTTGTGGCATCGTGCAGAGGTGATTTGGAAAATGTAGATTCATTGAATTATGTATATCTTCCAAATGTTGACATAATTCATTATTCCATTTTTAAAATTTATATTTATTAATATTGACACTGATCTCATAGGAGAAATTTTTCAGTATTGGGAGGCTGTCAAGCTAAGACTATAAATACAATTTTTCCAAAATTCTAATGTTCACTTAAAACCATAAACTTATCATTGCTAATATAAGTTTATTAACCATAAACTTATATTTTCGGTTGTTTTCCTTGAAGTAGCAAGCTCACCTGGTTCGTATTTGAGGAAATGTGTGCCAGATAGTCAAATCTGATTAACAGTGGTTTTTCTATCAGTTATTCTTTTGGAGTAAAATCAGTGTTTCATGAAGAAGCTAGTTTAGCTTATAATTCAAACAATCATATGAATACTTTTCCTCAAGACAGCCGTTGTCTTGAGGAATACTATACATGCAGTAGTATTGAGGAATACTATCCATGCAATAGTATTTTGTGTGTATTTCCCATTTTATGGTATAGAATATTAA